TCACCAACATCCTTGTCCTCACCCTCATCATCACCATCATCATCACCACCATCATCACCACCATTACCACCACCACCATCACCACCATCAACACCACCACCACCACCACCATCACCACCACCATCACCACCATTACCACCATCATCATCACCACCATCAACACCGCCACCACCACCACCACCATCACCACCACCATCACCACCATTACCACCATCATCATCACCACCATCAACACCGCCACCACCACCACCACCATCATCATCACCACCACCACCATCATCATCATCACCACCATTACCCCCATCATCATCACCACCATCAACACCACCACCACCACCATCATCATCATCACCACCATCAACGCCACCACCATCATCATCATCATCACCACCATTATCACAGGAACAGCGTGTAAAGCTCACATAGAGTGTCCTATGTACCAGGCTATGTTCAAATGCTTTATGCCCGTTACCTCATTTAATTCTCACACTATCTCTGTGAAGTAGATATTATTATCTCTAGTATACAGACAAACAAATGCAGTTGAGTAACTTGCCCAGGCTCCACAGACAGGATCTGAACCCATGATGTCTGTCTCCAAAGTCCATGCTTTAACCACTGTGCCCAACTGCATATTGACTGCCTATTCCTCCTCTTGGAGCAGAGAGCCACAGGTAGCAATAACTGCTTGCAGAACACAGTGTGAGAAATGGGCCTACCAAACCTGGGCTCTGGTCCCAACTCAGGCAAGACCCCTGCCTCCTCAGGCCTCCATTTTCCCATCCGTAAACCAAGGAGGTGAATGAACAACTGGATGATCTCCACGCTCCCTCAGGCCACCACTGCATGTGACTGGCCAGCCCCTCCAGATTTCAAAGCCTCCAGAAATCTCTGCATGGTCCTCCTGGGGAAGCTGGTGGGGGATCTGATGGCCCATGGGGGAACACTCCAGCAGGCTCCATTAATTCTGACTGATGCCTGTCCTCAGGGGGTAGAAAACCTCAGTGCAAGTGGGACAGTGTCCACTCAGGTTCCCCGAAACCTTCACGGAGGGTCCAGGGAGTGAGTGGCCAAATGGTGTCCCCTTAGTTCTCGACCACTAGTCTCCATACTAGTGGAGCATCAACATCATCAACATGATGATGATGATCAATATCGTGATCAGTATCGCCCAACATGGCCACCATCATCATTACCACCATCATTATTACCATCGTCATCACCCACACGGTCACCAACATCCTTGTCCTCACCCTCATCATCACCATCATCATCACCACCACCATTACGACCATCATCATCACCACCATCAACACCACCACCACCACTGGTGTTTTTTTTTCTTTTTTAAGATTTTACTTTATAATTTATTTCAGAGAGAGAGAGAGAGAGAGCACATGAGCAGGGGGAGGAGCAGAGGGACAAGCAGACTCCCTGTGGAGCAGGGAACCTGATGTGGGACTCGATCCCAGGACCCTGAGATTGTGACCTGAGCCGAAGGCAGACGCTTCACTGACTGAGCCACCCAGGAGCCCCATTCTCCGTACTGTTAACAGGGCAACTCCACAGGTACCGACTTGCCACCCATTTGACCCTGTTGATTAAGAATTTCTACAGATATATGATTTCAGCTCATGCAGCCCGACCCAGATCCAGAGCTCCTTGAAGGGGAAGGGCAAGGCTGTGCTATCATTATCATTTCTGAGGCAGGCAGCACTGAACCATCTTCAAAGGTCTTCACCGTTGAAGATGTCATCAAACGAGTCTGTTCACACTACCTCTCATGGCCTGAAGCCACGGTGACAGAGATGGTGGCAACGACAGTAACGGAACCATCATCTGTATCCTGAGTGCCTACTGTGAGCTGGGCACCGTGATGGACAGGCCTGCCGCTCACCACACGGCATTTCATTCCATCTTTAGGATGGCTTATGGCCGGGGGTATCTTGGGCCCATATAACCCAAGAAGAAACTGAGGCTCAGGAGGGCAAATGACCACCTAGACTTTCACATCGGAGGAGGGCTGCAACCCAGACTCCCATCCAGAGGCTGGGCCTGTTCTTGCTTTCCTCTCCCATTAGACAGAGTGGAGAGGACACCATGACAAGAGTGGTTCCTCACACGGCCCCAGCATGCCACTTCCCTGCCACCCGCACAGCCCCTCCGTGGGCAGCTTCTATCTGTGTGGCTCCTCACCTCCTGGGAACTCCAGTCTGGGCAAAAGACAGCCAACTCAGACTAAACATTTTCTTTACACCTATGCTCATGCCAGGCTCTGCCCCCGGAGCGGGGAAGATGGGGACAAGCCTGAAAGGCAATCTGGGGGCTCACTGTGAGCCCAAGTTGGACAACTTCCGTGTGGTGGACCCCAATGCTGAGCCCATGGCCAGCCCCCAATAAATGAGCTCACTGTTCAGCAGGAGAGCAAGACACATAATTATAATCCAAAGGTGGAAGTGCTCTGATGGGGGCGCCTGGGTGGCACAGTCGGTTAAGTGTCTGACTCCTGGTTTCTGCTCAGGTCGTGATTTCCATGTCATGAGATCAAGCGCCATGTCAGGCTCTACTTGGCACTAAGTCTGCTTGAGATTCTCTATCCCTCTCCCTCTGCCCCTCCCGCTTGTGCTCTCCCTCTGCAATAAATAAATAAATAAATAAATCTTTTTTAAAAAAAGAAGTTCTGGGCGCCTGGGTGGCTCAGTCGTTAAGCGTCTGCCTTCGGCTCAGGTCGTGATGCCAGGGTCCTGGGATCGAGCCCCGCATCGGGCTCCCTGCTCCGCGGGAAGCCTGCTTCTCCCTCTCCCATTCCCCCTGCGTGTGTTCCCTCTCTCACTGTGTCTCTCTCTGTCAAATAAATAAATAAAATCTTTAAAAAATAAAATAAAATAAAATAAATAAATAAATAAAGGATTGCTATAATGGAGGGGTGCCTGGGTGGTGCAGTCAGTTAAGTGTCTGACTCTTGGTTTTGGCTCAGGTCAGGTCATGATCTCAGGGTGATAAGATCGAGCCCCCTCGTCCGGCTCTGCGCTCAGCATGGAGTCTGCTTGAAATTCTCTCTCCCTCTGCTCCCCGCAAAGAATCTTTAAAAAAACAAAAAGAAGTGCTATGATGGAGAAAAGCACTTAATGTTGCTTTGTGTGGGTGTGTATATGTGCAACTGTGTAGAAGCAGAGGTATCAGGGAAGGCTTCCCAGAGGAGGCAAATCTAAAGCCTGATTAGGAATTGGCCAGGACACAAAGGGTGGAAAAGGAGCTCCCGGTAGGGGGGAAGACCTGAGCTGGGGCTCAGAAACGTGTAGCGGCCTCGTATGTGGGTGTGTGGCCAGGACACGAGGGCTATTCAGGGTTTCAGGAGGTGAGAGGCAGAGGCCAAAGACAGACGAGCAAGACACAGAGGCCCCTGGCAGTTCCAGAAGCACATTTACAAGCCTCCTCCTCTCTCAACCTTATACTGAGACAGCAGGTCTAACTCCCAACCCGGGCTCAGGCAGAGTGGAGAGCTAAAGCTGGACTCCGAAGGGCTTCAGGGAGACAGGCAGGACATAAAGTGTGGGCCTCCAGGTCCGGGGACAGCAGGATGGAAACCTAAGGAGCTGGGCTAGAGGAGGAACACGCTGGGTCAGGGGCTTGAACAAGCAGAGATAGAGGGTTGCCCTCGGTCCTCCCTTGCCAGAGCACTGGGACTGGAGCAGGGAGAGGCAGGTCAGAAAACCATCACGTTAGAGTCTCACACGTACCACATGGATCCTCCAGGCCCTGCCAGCAGGGGGCTAGCCCATGCCACCAGGCTTCTTGCTCATGACCTCTACCTGTCTCCAGCCTGGCCTCCTTCCAGAGGTCTGTGGGTAGGCGCCAGCTCTGCACTCAGGCTTCCAGGCCCTAAGCAAGGCCAGAGATGTGGCCAAACCAGGCACGATCCAGGCCATTGCCATTTGCCCAGCACTCAGCCTTAAGGAGATGCCCAACAAGTGAGATGGATGAATCATGTCAGCACCCCAAGGAGGCATAGCTGCATCTCCTACAAAGCTCCAGCTCCTGCAAAGCCTTATACAGAAGGGATGGGCACCCATTGTACTCTCATGGGTCGCTTTCCTAATACGAGTCTCACACCTTGCAAAAGTAAGTTGGCAAAACGTGGGGAGAAGCAAACGAGATGCTAGGGAGCCGCGGGTGGAAATTCAGGTCCTGGGGTTTAGTACTCGTCATCCCCTGCAGGACCTGGGGGCTTATTTCTCTCGGAGCCTCAACTTTCCTCATCTGTAAAGTGGGGACAGACAGGGAAGATTTGGATCAATGATTCTCAGCCGGGTGTGCACATGGGTCATGGAGAGAGTCGCTTCCAGCTCCGTTGATGGGCTTCCCCAGAACCACATAGAATGGCCACACAGCCCCTCCCTGACAGATGCTCCCATGAGTTCCATCCAGTTTGAAGAGTCCTGGCTCCAAAAACAGCCGAGGCTACTCTTCTCTTTCTGACTTCCAGCTTGCCAGAAAGGCAGTTTCCAGTGCCAAACAGTCAAACCAAAATCCCAGGTGCAGGGAAGAAAGACTGGACAGACAGACGGACACAGGACAAATCTATGTCTTTTCCCAAGCTCTCGTACCTGAGCCAGCCCACAAATGCTGTGGCTGGCTACTAAGCAGGTCCTTTGGGGAAGCTAAGGCCACACGGCCTGATATGGGTGGTTTCGAAGTTAGGGACCTGGGGGGAGGGTTACCCCAGGCCTGTACCCCACACATATCCCATCAGGGACAGAAGGAGGAACATATCATTCAACACTTCATCTCATTTAAAACAAAACGAAACAAAAGTTTCAATTCCAGCATGAGTTAAGTACCCTTTGACTCCAAATTCCTCCCTCCGGGGAAGCAGCTCAAGTTCCCAAGAAGCCCCCGGCCTCTCTCCCAAGGCTGAGTGAGGCCTATACTGCTGGCACGCCACGGGGCGGGCATTGGCCACATACGGGGTCTGGCCTGGAGGGCCGGGCCGGGCTCACCTTCACACTGCCTGCCTTCCCCTTTGTAGCCCGGCTTGCAGAGGCATTTGTAGGACTTGGGCGTGTTCTGGCAGATGGCATCGATATGGCAGTCATCCGTGCCCTCCGAGCACTCGTCCACGTCGACGGGCCCTGGCGGGGGGAGTGGGGGAAACCACTGGTGAGGTGTGGCCTGGGCGGCAGGCAGTAATGGCTGGGGGCAGGGAGCTCCTTCTGCCCCCCCCCACCTTCCAACAATCACTGGGGTAATTAACAGTGATAGCCATCACACGACAATCCGGTGTGACGAGTGGTGACTGGTAGCATTTTGGGGGCAGCTACTCTGTGCCAGACACAATGCTACCTAAATGCGGGCTCCCATTTATTTTCAAGACGGTCCCATTCAGTCAGTCTATTACTCCTGCTGGAGAGATGACAAAACCCGAGGCTTAGGAGCACTGCCAGGAAAGCCTCTCTGTGTGTCTTGCTCTCCCCACAAGCACTGCTCCATCCCTCCTCCACTCTCCTTATTCTAGAAATCAGAGCCAGAAGGGCCTTGGAGGAATTTAATCTATCACCTTGGGGTTACAGTGGGGGGGGCGGGGCAGGGGCAGGAAACCAAGGCTAGAATGAACAGTGAACAGAGGCCAAGCCAGGAGGCCCAGCGGGGTGATCTGACCCCACTCAGCCCCAAGGCTGTGGAAATAGAGGATTCTTCACCTAGCTTCCACACCCCCGCCTGCAGCGGCCAGCAGTAGAGCTACACCCTCAGTGGGGTTGGCCGGGCTTGTCCGTGGCTCTGACCTCCCCATCCTTTCTCCTCTCCACCTCGGACACCTAGCACCTTCATGACTCCAGTCTTCCCCTAAGCTGTCAGGTTCCTGAGACTGTCCATTCTGAATTACTCCCCTGGCTGGCATCAGGGCTCTAAATCTGTGGGGGGGGCCTCTCTAAGAGAACAGAGCTCCTCTCTAAGTCTCTAAGGGCTCCAGCCTCCCCCAAAGGAAGAGAGGCATCAACCAGAAGCATAAGAGCAAAATTCCCGACACACGCACACACATGCACACACACGCGCACACACGCACACAGGCACACCCAGCAGGTGGCGTCACTTTTCAGGGTGGTTGTATCTGCTCAGGTTAGCAGCCTGTCCTCTACAGCTGCCCAAGGGAAGGGGGAACGGGAGCCAGGAAGCAGTCAGAGTAGGAGGCCAGAGCCAGCCATCAAATGGCCAGGGGCCAGCAGGAACATCAGGCCAGCAGAACATCCCCTTCTGGGGAAGTGACAACACAGGGACCCCCATGCAGGGTTAGCACGGCCTCAAGGGCAGGAAGCCAGAGGCCAGGGAGGGCCAGTCTGCATCCTTCCATTGGGGAGGCCTGGGGCCACTTCTGAGATAGGACCAGCAAGGGAAATGGACCACGGATGCACATCCCAAGGGTCAGGGTACAGGAATGAGGGGAGGGAAACTGCCTGGTATTCTGGAGCCCCTTTTGCCCCACATCCCTCACCTCTGACCTAGGCAGGTATCCTCATGGGGAGGGAAATGGATGAAGGTTAGCTACGGGACTCGTGGGGGGAGGGTGAGACAACTCCCAACACATCTCCTAAACATGACTTTAGGTGGGGGCTGGGGAGAAGGACAGGAGCCACAGGCCATTTGTTCCCATGGTCTGCCCCTGCACCCTGCCCAGGGCTGGGGACTCCCTCCAGAGGGCAGCCCAGCCCTTCCATCGTGCTTGCTTTGACTTTGGTTTGTGTCACAGCACAAGGCTTTCAGGGGCTGGGACACAGAGGAGGGACAGAGAGGTGGAGAGAGGCACATACAGAAACAGCCAAACAGGGGCGAAGGATCCTGAAGTCGGAGAGAGACACCTACAGACACGGTGGGGGCTGTGGGCCACAGGGCCCAGCCTCCGTGGGCTCCAACTATGAAATAGTTTAAACGGCCTGGCATCCTTAGTCAGGGTGCGACTCCCAGGAATAGATTCCTGTGCCACCAAACACAGACTTCGGGGAGCCCAGCATGTCAGCGGGGGCGGGGGGGAAGCCAAGGAGAACAGAAGCAGGCAGGGTACCCCCCCACCCCTCAAGGAGAGAGGGAGGAAGCTCCTCCAAAGCTGTGGGAGGAGACACTGTGCTTTCAGCTTTGTGGGAGCACCCCTACCAGACAACCAAGAGAGTGGGAGGGGAAGGCGAGGGCGCTGGGGAGTTCCCTGTGAAATCCTGCACCCCCCGCCCCCAGCCTCTGCTGCCTGCCCCAACCCATGCCCCAAATGCTTCGGATCCCGGATCCCAGATCCCCCCACTTCCTCCTTCAGTGCCTCCTGCCTCCCTCTCCCGGGCCTCCTCCCGGAGGTCCCAAGTCTGGTCTCCCCTCCCTCTGGTTCCCATCCATCTCCTTCCCTCTGTGTCAGTCCCTCTGCCCACCCCCCTTCCAGTCTGTCTGTCTGCCCATTGCTTTCCAGCCATGTCCACTTCTGTCTTTCCCATCCGTCCGTCTTGCTCCCCCCCCAACCCCCCCCCCCAGCCCTCTTGTCTCTTTCTCTGCTGCACCCTCGGCCTCCACCTCTCCTCCTCTCGCTTCCTTCTCATCCGCTTCCTTCCCAGCCCTTCGCCGGTCCCTCACATCTCCCTTTCTCTGTCTTTTTCCTTCCAGCTGCCTATTTGCCTCCTTTTCTCTCCCCCGGGTTTCTTCCTTCCCCTCCGGTCTTCTGGTCTCCTCCCCACTCTTCGTGTCTTTCTCTGGGATTCTTTCTGTGTCCTTTTGTGTGTTCCCTCCGTGCCTCTTCTTCTGTCCGTCCGTCCCTCTATCCACCACCTCCCCCATCCCCTTTCTCTCTAGGTCAGTCCTTTCCCCCGGCTCCACTCCTCTCCTTCTCCCCTGTGGGCCTCCTTCCGCCCGCACGCCCCTCTCCCCTGGGGGAGCGCCCGTCGGGCCCCGGGGTCCCCACTCCCTCCCGCCTGAGCTCCGAGCGAGCGCCGGGGCTCCCCTCCGCGGGTCGTCGCGCTTTCTTTCTTCCTCCCGCCCTCGCGCTCCCTCCCCCGGGGGGCCCCAGCCCGTCCCGCCCCTGCTGCGGCCCCGCCGGGCTCCCGGAGCCCCCGGGCTTCGGGGAGGGGGCGCCCGGCGTCGGCCCCAGAAGTTACTTTGCAAAGAGGCGGGGCGGGGCGCGGGGCCGCGCGGGCTGCAGCCCCCTCGACGGCGCGGGGCGGGGGCCCACCCGGGACCCCGCCGCCGCCCAGAGCCCGCCGCCGGCCCCGCTCGGGGCTTACCTGGGAGCCCGCTGCCCCCCGCCAGCCGCCCGCGCGTGCCCAGGGCGAGCAGCAGGCACAAGTGCCAGCGCACGGCCGCCGCGCCCATGCTCGCTGCGAGCCTGGCCGGGCCGGCCGGGCGTGCGGGCGTGCGGGGCGCGGGGACCCCTCCGACCGGCCGCTCGGCGAGCGCTCCTCGCTGCTGGCTCCTCGGCCACCGCTCGGGCTCCCAGCCACCGAGCCGGCGCGGCTGACGAGCTGACAGCCGTGCGCTCATTGGCCCGCGGCTGCCGGGGGCGGGGCTCTGCGCGCGGCCGGCCAATGGGCGCCGGCCCCCGGCCCGCGGGGGGAGGGGCGGGCGTCGGGGGTGCCCCCTCCCCTCGGGGCGGGCGGCAGGTTGTGTGGGGTGGGGGCCGGGGCCCGCTCCGGTGGCCGCTGGGGTGCACAGTCTCCGCCGGGCTGGGGCTCGCTCGGAGGCTGCTCCCTTCCCCGGCCCCTGCCCCCACCCCCCCCATGCCCTAGTCGTCGAGGGTGACCGTCCCTCCGGGGGCAGCCCTCCCACCTCCCCAACACGCACACTCTAGGGAGAGAGAAGGGAGCCTGCCGAGCGGCCCTCAGAGGTCGAGAAAGGCCCGGAGACATCCATTTGCAGTGAAAGAAATGGGAACGCTCAAAGCAGAACTGTGCACTCGTCCAGTCGGGAAATGTTTATTGAGGACCTACTGTGCGTCCAGCGAGGGCAATGCAGCGGTGAACGAGCCAGAAAGGAAAAATTATGAGGATTGATTAAAATTAGACGTTCAAAACAAATGAACTTTTTACCGCTCCCCAAAGGACAATGGCTCATAAGCGTGCTTGTCATAGGACAGCTGCAGGATCCGCATCTGGAAAGCTCCCTGAAGGACAATGCCACTTTGCAGGCAGTCCCTGCCGGTGGCGCAGCCCATCTGCGGACTGACTCCTTAGCCTGCCCAGCTTGATGCCCTGACTATTCAGGGCCTGGGGCCTCCGCAGTGACAGGCTCTGGGCAGGCAGGTGATGGGCTGGGGGCTGGAGGAACCACCACTGTCCTTCCACCCAAGCACCGCTCTGGCCTGGCCTGGGAAATACACCTGACACTTGGTGGCCTTTGGGGCTGGACCCAGACGCCCGCCCAGGAGGCGCAGCTGGAAATAAATGGCCCCTCTCAGCCCCAGGCAGGACGCTTTAAGGGAAGAAAGTTCAGCAAACCCCAAGGCCCATCTCCTTGACAACCACCAATAAGAGCTCCTTTTTTCTTCTCCTGCTCTCCAGGCCCGACTCAAAGACAAGACCTTCCTCTTTTTGTCCACTCTGCCCGCCTGGGTCTGCGCCTAGCTTTCCTTTCCATACCAGTTCCCTTCCCTGCCCCCAACACACACACACACACACACACCCCTCCCAACACACCCCTCCCAACACACACCCTCAGGCATACAGACACATGCTCTCTCTCTCACACACACACTCATACACATCCTCACAGACACACATTCCTGCATACACACTCACATGGTCTTCCGTAGACAATCACTGCAATTCTGAAAAGTTAAATCTGTGTCCAGCCACCCTCACTCCCAACCTGACTTCCTATCACAAAGAGCTCATGACACTGGCCTAGTGGCTGAGGCAAAGGGTCCCCAACTTGGGGGACCAGAAAGGGCCAGCTATGGCTGTCCAGGAATAAGACAGGAGGGAGGTGCTTCTCCCTGCCTCCTCCAAGCCTTAGCCTTGTCACTCCTGATATTTCCTGCTGCGCGGTCACTCCTAGCTGGTAGCTTAATTTTGGGGACCCCCTTATCTTTATAGGCTTTATTTTCCCCTCCTCCCAATTGTGTGGTTTTGGTTTCTGGGGGAGAAAGCTCCCTTAGAAACACACATTGTCTTGTGCATCAGTGACAAGGGCAAGCGATGTGAGTTTGAGGGCGAGGTCCTTTTGTGGGGGCTCTAACTGACCAGAAACGACGTCTTTTAAAGTGCCTCTTCTGGGGCGCCTGGGTGGCTCAGGGGTTAAGCGTCTGCCTTCGGCCCAGGTCATGATCTCAGGGTCCTGGGATCGAGCCCCGCATCGGGCTCCCTGCTTGGTGGGAAGCCTGCCTCTCCCACTCCCCCTGCTAGTATTCCCTCTCTCGCTGTCTCTCTCTCTCTGTGTCAAATAAATAAATAAATAAATAAATAAATAAATAAATAAAATCTTAAAAAAAAAAAAGTACCTGTCCATCAGGGGCACCTCGCTCCTGGTCAGGTGCTTTCCAAGCTTGATGGCAGCAGGCTCAGTCCCTCTAGATCAAGGAGGGAATGGATGCAGGTGATAGCCGTTTAGACTGTGACCCCCACAATCTGGGGGCAGCTCTCACTCATACCAAGTTCTTGTCCCTAGCCTGCCCCCTGTAAGGTGGGCAGATGGAAAAAACCTGGCTCCTTCCAGGAGGAGACTGTGGTCTGTGCAGAGGAGCCAGGGAGCAGGGGACAGGGATGGAGAAGAGACACACGTGTAAGTCTCCGTGAATGTGCTAAAGGCCATGGCAGAGAAACAGGTGGTTACTTCTGCTCCTGGGGTGGCTAGGGAGGCATCCTAGACCCTAGAGTTGGGCACGAAATATGAGAAGGAGATTTTCCTGTTGGTTGAGAGAATGTGCCAAGGTCCACTGAAGAAGGTGGGGACCAAGGAGTGAGTGTTCTTCAAGTACCTTGCAAACTAAAGCACTGCACGTGTGTGACAGTGACATGGTGGAGAGCTGCCCACAGAGACGGCGGCATCTGTGTGGTGGACCCGGCTGGCCGGGTGAGAACATGTATGCCTGGACTCCAGCCAGGGGCGTCTCGGAGCCTCTGGAAACTGAGCTAGGAGAGTGGAGGCTCAGGGATGATTCCGACAGTCACTTTGGGAGGGAACACTCCATAGCTCCCCATCACCTTCCAAGCAAGCGCTGAACGCTTTGTGCAGCTAACAAGGTACCCGTAGCAGTCCCAGCCTTGTGTAACCACAGGGCCCCACAGACACCCTGCTCTCACACCCCTGAACCTTTGCCTCTGCCAGAAGCACCCTTCGTGTCCTTCTTCACAGAGCTCACCCCTTCTCTGCACACACCCTCGACTCCTGTCCCGTAGCTGGGTGTAGGGCCTCCTCTGGGCTCCTACACACCTGGGGGCTGTCCCATCAGAGTCAGGCTCACCTTGGGTTTCAATTCTGCCTCTTCCCAAACTGGGGTTCCTGAAGGCGGAGCTCACACCCCATCGGCATCTGGGCCACAGCCTCCCGCTTGGGCCTAAGAAATTATTGTTGAACGAATGAACAAAGAAACAAGACAGACATCACTTAACCAAGAATTCACATCGCTCCAGGGAGTGGATAAAGATTTTTTGGCTATTTGATAGGGCTTGGGGGGAGTGAATCCAGCTGCCCACACCCTCCTGGCCACCCCCATCCTCTCTGCCAGGTGGGGAAGCTGGGCAGGGGGCGGTCTCCTCCGGGGCCCTTTGGCTCCCCCTGGTGACCCCTCATAGACGTCCCAGGAAGCGAGAAGGCAGAGGAGACTTCCTTCCAGCGCACACACAGCCCCTGCCACTGGGGTGTTCCCACTGACCCCAGTCCTCAGCAAAAGAATACCTTACTTTAAAAAGAAAACTTCCTCAAGAAGAAGTCTCTTGATTAATAACAGTTGTGAAAGCTCTTTGAGAAAATAAAGTTCTCTGCGAGCATAAAATGTCATTCCAAGACTTTAGAAGCTTTGTTGTTCTTTCTTAGTAAAAATAAGGGGTTTCATAATAATCCCCCCTCATGTTGCACACTTTCTTTTAATAAAGGGAAAGGGGGGCAGCAGGAGAGGGAGAGAGAAAATCTTTTTTTTTAATTTTTTTTAAAGATTTTATTTATTTATTTGAGAGAGAGAGAGAATGAGAGATAGAGAGCACAAGAGGAAGAGAGTCAGAGAGAAGCAGACTCCCTGCCGAGCAAGGAGCCCGACGTGGGACTCGATCCCGGGACTCCAGGATCGTGACCTGAGCCGAAGGCAGTCGCTTAACCAACTGAGCCACCCAGGGGCCCGGGAGAGAGAAAATCTTAAGCAGGCTCCACGCCCAGCCAGCATGGAGCCTGATGCAGGGCTCGATCTCATAACCCTCAGATGACCTGAGCTGAAATCAAGAGTTAAACGCTTAACCAACTGACCCACCCAGGTGTCTCCATGTTGCATACTTCTTTAGACCTTTGAGGGGAATCTCTTTTGCAATCGCTCCATGACCTTGGGCCCCACAAGTTGGGTTTCTTGGCTCGAGCCCCCAGCTGTCAAATGAAGGTCTCAGTCCCCAGGACCTTGGGCATCTCCAGCTCACGGTCCAGAGACTCCCCTGAAATAACCCACCTGAGTTTGGGCACACAGCATATCCTGACCTCCCTGCTGCCTCCTCCCCCATGTGTTACAATAGCTACCGTGTATCTAGTGTCCCTGAGTACCTGGCACTGTGCTCAATGTCTTGTGCACTGTGTCATTTCATCCTGACAGGCTGAGACTACCACCACCCCTACTCTACACCTAAGAAAACAGAGACTCAGGCCACTTGTCTGGGACCACAGAGCTAGCAAATGTTGAGGTGGGATCTGAACTGAGGTCTGCATGACTCTCGATGACACACTCTTAACCACTACCTGTTAATAAAACCCTCTCAAAGGCTCAAAGGGCATTAGGGTACTCCTCTCTATAAGGCACAAAGTTTTACTTTTTTGGCTTTGATATTGAGAAAAGTGGTTTTTACATAGTGGCCAGACAGACTGTAACAGTTCCTAATTCATGGGGCTGAACTGTACGCTCTCTCATCTTTCTAACAGGCGCAAAAAATTTTTCCCCGTGTAGGATATAGGTACTTAACTTTTGGGAAGGGGTTGAGTAGAAGTAGAAAGTGAGGGATCGTATGACTCACCTGCACACCCCACACCCCATGCAAATGAATCCTAGAGGTGGCCCAGCCCACACTCCTCATTTTACAGATGGGGAAACTGAGGCCCAGCCTCACAGATCTGCCACCCCCTCAGGCACCTCTAACCCCACTGCCCAGGTCACGTCCCCTCAGGGCTCCCTGCCCCCGGAATAG